TTCTTCGGAAGTGATTACAATCTATTGTTCGTAACTGTTTGCACTTAATAAAATTGTTTGGCCCTTGACTTGAATAGTCGGTTTGCCTTCTTCCCGCCTCCGGGACCTGAGCTTGCTAGTCTCCACAAGTGTGCATTCGCAGAGACCACGAAGAAAAATGGTAGGTTACATACCTGTGACCATCTTTCTTCGAGTGGTGCTCTGCGAATTCACACTAACCCGCCCAGCCTCCCCTCTATGCAAACCTCCAATTTCTCGCTACCGTAGCGGCGTAGGAATTGGATCGGTGTGCGCGGGGCGCCCTTTTATCCCCTGTCGGGGCTGGGCGGGGTTACCGCCAAAACTTGAAAAGTTTTAAAATGTAGAAGTTTCCGTTGGAGCCCGCGCAGGCGCAGTCTCTCCACAAGTGTGAATTCGCAGAGCACCACTCGAAGAAAGATGGTCACAGGTATGTAACCTACCAATATATATATATATATATATATATATATATATATATATATCTTTATTGGTAGGGTTTGTGTGAGGGGGGTGAGGGTACATTTTTTGTTAAGCTTACTTTACATATAATAAAATCAGACAGATAAGAAAAAAGAAACAAAAAACAAAACAAAACAAAAACAGAGAAGCACGTTGAGATGTAGGTTTATAGCATGAGCTCCAAGTACGTATTTATCTTCCTCCTTCTCTGGCATATTTGCTTTCAGGCAGCCTTGTGGTTTATATGTGTCAAGGTAACATCTAAGTATGGACCAATCTGTCTCAACCATTTGTTGACCCTTGAGATATTGTGTCAAACAGTCTGTGTTTATAATGTCTGATATTTTGAGTAAGCAGTCTTCAATCGTTGGAGATTCTTTAGACTTCAATTTCTTTGCTGTGACCATATGGAAAAAAAGTATGTCTTTGTTTTTATTGATCTCCTTATTCAGTATTCTTAGGAGGTAAAACTTTGGTTTTAATTCCATTTTTTCCTCTAAAATTGACTGAATTGTAATATGAATCATTTTCCAAAACTTTTTGGTTTTGCCGCATGTCCACCATAGGTGGAAAAATGTTCCTGTATTTGCGTGACATTTCCAACATTTATCAGAAAGTTGTTTATAACATTTCACCAGCTTGCTTGGAGTGATGTACCAGCGGTACATCATCTTAAACCAATTTTCACGGAGGTCATAACAGTTGATATATTTAAATTTAGTATTCCAAATCTTTTCCCACTCTGATATTCTAATGTTGTGTCCGATATTCTGGGCCCACTTTACCATAGATTCTTTAATTTGATCTTTTTCTGTTGCCCATAATAAGAGGGTCCTATATAGTATTATAATTATTTTCCTCTCCACTGTCATGATACTATCCCAAAGTTTATTCTTTTCTTTGAAAAACATTTTTTTTATCTTTCCTAAAGACCTCATTCAATTGTCTGTATTGAAACCATGATAATTTGCCGTATGATTTTTGGATGTCTTCCTGAGTCTTCAACACATGATTATTATTAACTTTCGTATATATTTTTAACAGGTTTGTATGGATTTTATAATGTTGTTCTAATTGTTTTTAATTGTATACTATGGACTGTTATGGCATCAAATTGCTGCCAATTTGTAAGCCACCTTGAGTTGCCTTTGGGATGAGAAAGGCGGAATAAAAATACCATAAATAAATAAATATATTGTACACCACTCTGAGTCCCCTGAGGGGTGAGAAGAGCAGGATAGAATGAAGTAGCTAAGTAATTGATTAAATACATAAATGTAAGAACTTACTTTTGCTGGGAAACGTTACCCTTGGATATTGACCTTGGAAGCCATCTTAGGTCCTACTCAAGGAAAAGGGGACATATAAAATAAATAAGTAAATAAATACATCTTGTAACACATTGTTAGGATATTCCTTTTACAGTTTCCAGAGCTAGCAGACGTGGTCTCAAATTTGGCCCTGGTCTCCCAGCATTTGGTTGTGCTGGGTGACTTTAACATTCACGCAGAGACCACTTTTACAGTAGTGGTTCAAGATTTCATGGTTGCCATGATGACCATGGGGCTATCACAAGTAATATCTGGACCCACCCATCAGGCTGGACATACACTTGATCTAGTTTCCACTGCGGACAGAGGAGTGGTCAGGGTGGAACAGCAAAACATTCTTCCATTTTCATGGTCTGACCATCACCTGATCAGTTTCAGGCTCATTGCGACCTCTAACCTCTGCAGGGGTGGTGGACCTACTAAGATGGTCCGCTCCAGGAGACTGATGGAGCTCAGGCATCGGCAGTGGCTGGGAGAACCTTTGAAACAATTGAAGCTCGTGCACCAGCTGCACCCGTATCTCGTGAAGTCAGATTTGGCCACGGTGGTCCATGCCTTAGTTACCTCTAGATTGGACTATCGCAATGTGCTCTATGTGGGGCTGCCCTTGAAGACGGCCCGGGAATTCAAACTGGTCCAACGATCGGCAGCCAGATTACTAACTGGTGCTAATTATAGAGAGTGGTCAATCCTACTGTTTAAGGAGCTCCATTGGCTTCTATTTATTTTCCAGTCCCAATTCAAGGTGCAGGTTCTTACCTACAAAGCCCTGAACAGTTTGGGACCCGCCTACCTGCGCAACCACATTTCCATTTACAAACCCACATGATCTCTTCAATCTTATGGAGAGACCCTCCTCTTGCTCCCACCTCCATCGCAAACGCGACTGGTGGGGATAAGGGACAGGGCCTTCTCTGTAGTAGCCCCTAATATCACTTCCCAGAGATATTAGGCAAGCCCCACTCTGGAAATCTTCAGGAGGAGCCTGAAAATTTGGCTATTCCAATGTGCCTTCAATGATTGATTACATGATAATCTCTGACCAAGCTCTGCATAAAATGCCCTCAGAAGCACTTTATTCTCTTTTTGTGCAATTAAATCCTACCTCATTCCACGGAGTCTGTCCCTGATATCTTATACTGCCCTATCTCCCAGTGTTTTAAAATTTTAATCCTTGAATTTGGCCCTGCCCATAGGGATAACTTTAATGTCGCAATGAAATGATGTAATTTTTTTTTTACTTTTTATTGTTGTGTCGCTTATATACATTGGTTTTGTATTTTAGGTTATTTTATTGTTTATTTTTTGTTGTCTTTTTGTGTTATATTGTGTATATTTTATTGATGGGCATGGCCTCATGTAAGCCGCTCCGAGTCCCCTTGGGTAGATGGTGGAGGGGTATAAATAAAGTTTTATTATTATTATTATTATTATTATTATTATTATTATTATTATTATCCTCAGTGATTCACTTTTCACGTTACTCACTTGGAGACGTTGTCATGACTTTCCTAGTTGGATATTTGAACTTCACTGATAATATTATGTAACACAATTTTTGATCCTAGATTATAAATGTCCTTGTCTAATTGGCTTTATTGTTTAAAAAACAAGGGGAAGGTTTATTAAACTTCAAAAACTTTGTTTTTGCAGGACATCCTGCAGTACATTTTGCTATCATTTTTCAATAAATATTCTCTAGAGTTGCAACCAATTCAACATAGTTTGTGGCAGCCACAAAAATGAAGTTTCCGGAGTATAATAACTACTTTCAAAGCAAGTACTGCACAATTAAACAGGAGATAACCCTTTAAAACCAGGAACAGAACATTTTCCAAATGTTGCTTCATAGTGTAACTGATGACCTTCTCTGATAACTGATCTTGGATTGTAAGGATTCATTGCTTGTCTGCATAGGATTTAGAGGTGGCGGTGGGGAGGTGCAGCGCAACCAGATTGTATTACATGCCTTAGATATAAGTCAGTGTCATATGATGACCTTCACTGATAACTGATGTTGGTTTGTTGGGAGTCAAGTATTCATTGTTTATCTGCATAGGATTTATAGGCATGGGGGGGGCACAATCAGATGGTATTGAAGGCCTTAGATATAAGACAATGGCATATGACAACACATTTCAAATAATATTTATATTATGTGCCATTGCTTACGATTTTATGAATTGATGGGCTTAATACATGTTTGTTTGAAATTGCATTCAGATGGGGGATACATTCCCAGACTTCTTGACAAAACTGTAGATAATTTTAAATCTCACTGAAATGAAAGACTCCTTGTCACGAATGCTATATTCTGCTGGAGGACCTAGAAAATGCCTACAGACAGGGCCGTAGCCAGGATTTTGTTTTTGTTTTTTTGGGGCGGGGGGGTACTGAGTTTGGTTCGGGGGGGGGCTGAGTTTGGTTCGGGGGGCTGAGTCTGAGTGAAAGAGGGTCTACCCTAGCAAACCTTTTGTATCATTACCCCAATACCCCCATGCATATGGGATATATTGAGCATGGTGATCAGATCATGATATGAATAAACATAACAGTTTAAATAATGTACCAGTAAGGCCTTCTCATGGATCACCATGAGAATTTGGGGCGGGGGGGGGGCGGGCTGAAGCCCCCAAGCCCCCCCCCCAAGCTACATGCCTGCCTAGACATGAAATATTCTGTTAGACATGTCTCATAGACGGGTGTCTGGGATCTCCATTCTGAAGATCTGAAGAAATGATGAATTGCTAATCTATATGTTCTTCAGAGCAAATAGTCACTGTACTATTAACCAGGGAAGGTCTGGGCAGAATTCACTTCCATCTTAGAAGCAGAGCAGTCAACACATTCGTCTTGGTGTAACTATTACATCCTGCTGAAGCTGGTAATGATGAATCCAATATTGCTAAATTATGATGAACTGGAATAAGAGGGCATAGGTGCCCAAAAATGCTGGCACCATGGAATTGGCTGGTTCAGCTACCTTATTACAAAAAGCACAAATCCACTACAAGTTGTGGTTCAGCTACCTTATTGTCAACATGACTGGATCCCACATACTCTTATTGTTGACTTGTGCAGCAAGTCTGTGCAGTTGTGTAATGCAAAAGGGAGTTCTCAAACAGCTCTAATAAAAGTCTGTCGAGCCCGAGCCAAATGTCCACACTCTGCTGAAAGAGAAGGACAGTTGACAGTGATAACCCATGCCATGGAATGGGTTGGTACAATTGTCCTTCTCCTTCTTGTATATTTTTCTTGCCATCTGCTCATATCATCTAAGAGGAAACTATGGCACAAGGGGAGACTTCCTCCGGGACCCACTCCTCTGCCCCTGATTGGGAATTTCCTGCAGATCAAAGCATCCCAAACCTTAAAATCTCTTCTCAAGGTATGGCTTTTTCTTTCTTTCTTTTCGTCTCTTATGGGAAAAGGAGACTTGATTAGAAAGTTGTGGTTTTAGAAAGAAGTGAATTTGTTTAAGCATTAGAAAGAGAGGTAAGAACAATTAGGAATGTATATATCACTGCTGAAAGGAAGATCAGAAGTCATCTTCTATATCATTTTGTTTACTTTCTTTGTTTTTCTTATCTCTCTCTCTCTCTATATATATATGGAATAAACAAAGTTGATATAAATCTCTTCTTAAGATGAGTGGTTGCCCCCTGAATTCAACCTGGACATTTGGGCTCTAATGGGAAATATAGGAAAGGATTAAGATTCACAACTCTAAGTTGTCTCCTTAAGTCTTCTATCATCACATCTATTTTCCTGCACAGGTTTTCAAAAATCTGGGGGGTTTTTTTGCTCAAATTTTGTAGATATTCCTATATATGTATACCTGTAAGCAAAATATTGTGTCCTATTTGATGGTGGGACCCGCCTCCATGCTAATAGAGACCAGGCAGCCAAAATGTACTTCTTTGATTCCAAGATAATAGTTTGATACACCATAAATTGACATGGCCCCATTCTGTAAACCAGGGATTTGTAATTCGATGACAGATTATGAATTCTTTGTTAGAGCACTCTAGTGATTGAGCTCAAGGGAGAACACTTGAGAACCTTAAGGTGCATCTATATTGTTGAATTAATGAATCTCTTTAACTGCTTTGGCTCAGTGCTATGGAATCATGGAATTTTTTATTTGAAAAGGTCTTTATCATCCTCTGCCACAGAGTAGTGGTGTCTCACCAAACTACAGATTCCATAATTCCATAGCATCAAGCTATGGCAGTTCATGAGGTGTCAAGTAGCATGCCAAAATTACAGATCCCAGCAAGTTATACAATGGAGACATTGCAGATAAATGTTCAGTAAGATGTAATATATGTTCAGTATGGATACTTTCTCAGTTAGGCATAGAAATTCTTTTTGGGTGACAGATTCATCTTTTTTTATCCAAAAAAGAGAAATTTTCATCCAAAAACGCATTGTTTCCAGACACTTTTTTGAGCTGGTTGTAATTGTGCAGAACTATATTTCTGCACTTCTTAGAACACCTTACAAAATGTCAGGATCATGACAGATATTAATGAATATTTTCTCCTACAGCTGCATGAAAAATATGGCCCTGTTTTCACTGTCTATTTTGGATCACATCCGGTTCTGGTCTTATGTGGACATCAAGCTGTGAAGGAGGCCCTGATAGACAAGGCAGAAGAGTTCAGTGGAAGGTCTACCGAGCCTGTACTCGAGAGGACCTTCCAAGGATATGGTGAGGCATCCTAGCTGTCTTTGCAACAATGGATCCCACTTTTTTCTTCTGCTTCACTTGCCATTTCTTTTCTGTGTCCCTCAGGGGTGATCTGTTCCAATGGAAACCGCTGGAAGCAACTGCGCTGCTTTTGCATCACCATTTTGAAGAGTTTTGGAATGGGGAAAAAGTCTATTGAGGAACGAATCCAAGAGGAAGCCCAATTCCTGCTGGAGGAATTGTGGAAGATGAAGGGTAAGAGAAGTGCCAAAGACAGGTTGAACTTATTATGATGAGTAAAAGTACCAAAATCTTTAAAGCAAGAGGAATGACTTCTCACTTGGCCTGACAATTAGGACCTCATCACATGGAGATTTGTGTTGTGAGCTACAGCAGGGGAATTTGTAGGGCATAGGTGGAAATCGTGGGGCACCAGAGCAAATCTGTCACCCAGCACCTTGTATTGCCTGCATTGACCACTTGGCCATCACTTGCTGCAGAAAAAATTCCTTTCTGGCATGTTCCTGCGCTGTCCTCAATATTTTCTACATGAACACAGGTACTCTCCTGTGTTCAGAATTCCCCCTTGCAGAACACTTTGCCAAGGCAGCCATTACGGAACCCCACTGGAAGCAGCTGTGCGTCGTGTGATAAGATCTGATGGGATTTGTCCTGCCTACATTGGCAAAGTGTTATTTGATGTGGATTTCCTCCCATGTGGTGAGTTCCTTGGCAGACAGGGTGTGTGTTTGTGTGGTATTTTTGGCACCAGAAGGACCTTCTATGGACTGATTCGTCATTCATTCTCTTTGCTATTGTGCTACAGGAAAGGCTTTTGATCCAATGTACAAAAATCTCTAAAGCAAGAGGAATGACAACTCCCTTGGCCTGAGAATTAGGACCTCATCAAATGGAAATTCATGTTGCCAGGGATAGCAGGGGAATCCGTAGGGCAGAGGTGGAAATCGTGAGGCAGCTGGGCAAATCTGTTACCCAGCAACTTGCATTTCCCACATTACCCACTTGCCCATCACATGCTGGAAACAGTACCCTTTCCGGCTTGGTCCCACGCTGTCCTCAATATTTTCTACGTGATCATGGGTAGTCTCCTATATTCAGAATTCCCCCTTGTAGACCACTTTGCCAGTGCAGCCAACATGAAACCCCACTGGAAGTAGCTGTGCGTCATGTGATGAGATCTGGTGGGATCTGTCCTATCTGCATGGGTGAAGTATTCTAAGATGGGGATTTTCCCCCATGTGGCGAGTTCCTTAGCAGACATGATGTGTGTGTGTGTACTATTTTTGACACCAGAAGGGGTTCTGAGGAGTGATTCATCTTTTGATCCAACCTTTTGATTCAGCCTTTTGATCCAACACACCTCTTCAGCAGCGCATTGTCGAATATAATTTGCTCCATTGTTTTTGGGGACCGTTTTGACTATGAGGACAAGGAATTCAAGGTTCTCCTGGAGATGATATGCAACATCTTCCGGGAGATTAGCACAGCTTGGTCTCAGGTACCCCAAAGCTACTCCCTTTGAGTTTCTGCTCAGTTTAAAATGGTGTAGAAATCCATAAGTCTTAATCACTATCCTAATATTTACTCCAAGATTCACAACAGCAAGCAAAAGCTCCTAGGAAGGGCAGGTTGATTCCATGCCTTTCTTCATATGTTTTGAACTTCTGCTTTCCTATCACAGGTTTCTTGTTCTCCTACTTTCACACTTCTAATGCCACAACGACCCAGTTAATAGAGGTATGCAAAATTCAAGGCATTGTTTCAGATTTTAGACAATTTCAGTAATCCGGCGATACAAACGGTGTTTTAGGTGTCCCCGAGAGCCTTTGGAAGTTGGAGTAATAAATCACTTAAGCCTTCCAAATTGTAGCAAACTGGTGCTGAATGAGCCAGAGCTAGAGATTGGCACAAAGCCCTTTACATCTTGAACAGATCTGAGCCCAGAAAACAGGAGAATTTGCACCCCTGGAGATGTCCAATCAAACCTGTAGATTCAGGTCCAAGTTCTGAGATTTAGCAGGCCTAGTGATGTATACGTTGAATGATTACAAAGTGTTCTGAAAGGGAGCAGAAATTCATTTGGTCCAAAGAGCTTCGGTCAGTTGCTTGACCGAGTCTGCCAATAGGAAGCATGGGAACAGGACAATACCTTTCGGCATTAATGTGTTGGACTCTTAGATCTTTAGGCAAGGGCTTTCTCTCAGTCCTAGCACCTTCCCAGGCATGTCTGGTGAGAGAAGCCTTTTCTGTAGCTGTTCCTAAAATTTGGAACTTTATTGGTAGGAAGTAAGAGTAGCTGTTTGATTATATGTTAATTTCAGCATACATTGCTTAGTTTTTTAAAAAATAACCCCAACTTCCATATAGATGGAGAGCTGTCCTGCTGATCATCTGGATCTACTGGATGACATCTCCCTGCCTCCTGTCAGAGTGGCTATGACATGGCAATAGAGGAGGGTCCTGCTTCTGATTTTTTTTTTGTTTTTTTGTTTTTTATTTATTTATTTGTTTTTTTGTTTTTTTATTTATTTGTTTGTTTTTCTTTTAGGAAAAAGACAATCCAGGCAGTGAATTTAATATGAAGAACTTGGAGCTCACCACAGTTAATCTGTTCATAGCTGGAACAGAGACAACCAATTCGACCCTGAGATATGGGTGCCTGCTTCTCATGAAATATCCTGACGTGCAAGGTATTGTTATTATCAGTTACAATTGGCTCACAATTGCAGGTTTAACCTTGGCCGATTTGAATCTTTACCTCTCCTGGAAGTTGAAAATAGAGCCACTCTGGAAGAACTAGAAATCTGGAAATCGCTACTTCTCTAGGAATCTCTAGGATCTCTGGGGCTATTCTAAGCTTTATCTCTATCGACTTTGTGACCAAATTTCACCCTATTTTCCACTTCTTCACACATCAGACAGTCCTCTGTATCCATAGGTTCTGTATCTATGGGTTTAGCCAACCATGGTTTGAAAGTACTTAACAAAAAGTGATCCTTGATTTGTCCACCTACCGAGCCCCATGTGGATGTGTAAGCAAAAGGGGGAGCCTTCCAATCAGGGCATGCAGGTTTTTAGATGGGGAGGGGGTGCCAGTCTCCTGCAATTAATATTTAGATATTTCATGCCACCCTCCCCAAAGACATCAGATTAGCACCCACGTTGGCAGTCTTTAGGAAGAGCTTGAAAACCTGGCTATTCCTACGTGCCTTTCCGGAATAGGAAAACCCCAGCACTATGTCCCTGAAGCACTTTATTAGAGTTTAGGATTCTCTGCACATTGCACTTGCCCAGAAATCCAACATACCACCTGTCACACCCAGCACTTTTTAATCTGTACCCATCACTTGGCCCGGCCCTGGTTTTTACTGTGTTATGGTGTAATGTTTTGTTGTTATTGCTTTATGTTTTTGATTTGCTTTGAATTGTACTGTTGTTGTTATGCTGTTGTTGTGTTGAGGCCTTGGCCTGTGTAAGCCGCATCGAGTCCTTCGGGAGATGCTAGCGGGGTACAAATAAAGTTTAATAATAATAATAATTAATAATAATAATGTTGGAAATAGAATCGAAGTCCCCTTTGAGAGTCAGAAACCCAAGGAGTTAATTCTATACATATGTTTAACAGCAAAAGTGCATGAGGAAATTGATCGAGTGATTGGCTGTAATCGTGTCCCCAACACTGAGGACCGGAGCCAGATGCCGTATACAGATGCCGTCATCCATGAAGTACAAAGATGCAGTGATCTCTTTCCTATGAGTGTGGGCCACATGGTTACTCGTGACACTGAATTCAGAGGATACTTCCTTCCTAAGGTACAGTAGTGGGGTAACCAGGAAAAAAAGCAAGAGGCACGGGCAGGTGGTGTTTTGAAAGCGTGAGCAGCAGTCATCCTACCTTAAAATGTTTCACTGGAGAAAAGTAGGATATATGGTTGCTCTTCTTCCTTTTCCTAGGGACTCATAGGACTTTTGTGTAGATACATGAGTTTGGACCTTGGCCTTGAATCCAACAAAGAAGAGAAGAGGGTAGTGAAATGCAGACAATCTCAAATATTCTGTCATCTTCTCATGGATTACCTAAATGGGGTTTATGAGCCAGCAGAAATGGCTAAGTTCATAGTTTAGGGTTCCATGAGCCAATTGAAGAACACCACACAGGAAGCTCTCTTCCAGAACTGAAATTTTGCAGTTTTGAGCTCATAATTCTTTAATTTTCCTATCCCAGGGGATGGAGGTGTACCCTGTGCTCAGTAGTGTCTTGCATGACCCCACAATGTTTAAAAGCCCTAATGCTTTCAACCCAGAGAACTTCTTGGATGAGAATGGATGCTACAAGAAGAATGAGGCCTTTGTGCCATTCTCCGCAGGTAAAAATTTCCTAAATAACCACATTCTTGTTTGTTTGATATCCCATGCTTGCTTTCAGAATTTGTTACTGTGGGTCCCTTTATTCACCAATAGCAAATACAAAAAAATTGGTATAAGATATAAGACAACAAAATTGCTGGTTGTAAGGCGAACTTCATGAAAACTCAAGTATATTATGAACAAGGTGAGAGGAGTGGGGGGGAAAGGAACATCTGAGTTGTACGATTCCTCAAATCCGACCCTCCCCAGAAACCAATTACAAGGTGGAAATGAGGGAAATATTTTACAAATAGATATAAAACAATGAGTTACTGGTTGGAGTGGAGGGACTATAAAAAACCAAAGATGCTTTGGACATGGAATGTGGGGGGACATGAGGTGAAACTCTCTTTTAGTTGTATCTCAGAGGCATCTAATTATAAAACCAGATGTGTCTGTCCTTGCCTCCTGACTCTTTCTCATATTTTTATTGCAGGGAAACGAACTTGTCTGGGAGAAGCATTGGCCCTCATGGAGCTTTTCCTCTTCTTCACCACCATCCTGCAGAATTTCCAACTGAAGCCCCTTGTGCCTCCAGAGGACCTTGACATAACCCCCTGTGAGAGTGGCTTTGCCAACATCCCACCCTTGTATGAGCTTTCCGTCATCCCACGTTGAGCCCAAGACCCCTTTCTCCTTCAGCTTGGGACTCTTGCATAAGCTGCATTTACAGACTCCACTAGGAGAAGGACGTGCAATTATATTCTGTTCTTTGGCTCCCATGCACAGGATTGTATTTTTTAGAAAGAATAATAAATGGCATCCATATCTCACCCAGGGATTAGGGCTTGTTGTACTGGACTCATATTGATAAGCCAGCAGGATAACAGGGGTGCTTTTGACCCATCTCACCATTTCCTATCTGCTCAAAAATTACAAAGGAATGATGCCTTTTGATTTTTATTATGTTTCTATCGCTATTGTTTATAAAGTGTTCAAGTTTTCATTGTGTTTTAATGTATGTTAGTTCACTATTACAGGAGTTTTAGGACAGTGATTAGTGTCTATTTGTGTGGTTTTTTGTCTTTGTCTTTTACTGTTGATAAGCTCAGTGGAATAATCGATAAACTTTACTATAAAGTGTTTTGGATGCCTTCACACTATCTAATGTGTAACCATCTTAATTCTACAATTACATACTAGGCATGGTTTGGTTTGGTTTGATTGGAATCTTCTTAATTCGGAATAAATTCAGAAAGATTTGCTTTTTGAAGCAAGTTTTTAAGGAAACCGGAAGTCCCTTTACCTTTCCAAACCTTTTTCTGCCATTTCTGTTATGAAGAAGTAAGTGAGTCGGAAATGATTTAGCATTTCCTCATTTCTGGTCCCTGGCCCTGGCTCAAGCCAGAGAAACCGTTTTAAACCAGAGTGGATGAATTTCCTCCCTTTCCTCTCCCCCTGCTTCTGTCTCAAGCCTGGGAAGGCATTCTAAACCAGAGTAGATGAATTTCCTCCCTTTCCTCTCCCACTGCTTCTGTCTCAACTCTGGGAAGCTGTTTTAAACCAGAGTGGATGAATTTCCTTTCCTCCCCTCTCCCCCCAGTTCTGTCTCCATCCTGGGAAGCCATTTTAAACCAGAGTGTATGAATTTTCTCCCCTTCCTTCCCCTCGCTTCTGTCTCCAGCCTGGGAAGCCATTATAAACCAGAGTGGATGAATTTTCTCCSTTTCCTTCCCCCAACTTCTGTCTCAAGCCTGGGAAGCCATTTTAAACCAGAGTGGATGAAGTTCCTCCCTTTCCTCTCCCCCAGCTTCTGTCTCAAGCCTGGGCAGCCATTTTCAACCAGAGTGGATGAATTTCCTCCCTTTGCTCCCCCCCCCCCAATTCTGTAGTAAAATAATTACTTTAAAAGTAAAGACCACCCAATGAAACAGGAAATAACACTTTCAAACCATTAAGGAAGAATTCGGAGGTCTGGAAAGTTTTGAAAAGTTTTGTTTGGGGGATAAAACAAGCCTACTACATACTACAAATGATTTCTTGTATCTATGGATTTTTAACCACACACAGATTGAAGATATCTTAAAAAATTAAAAAGCAAATCTTGATCTTGCTATTTGATATAAGGGACATCATTTTACTGCATTGTTGAATATAATGGGATGTGAGAATCCATGGATTTTGATATCCAAGAGAGGTATTCTTGTAGTCAAATCTGGCAAATAGCAAGGCCCACTGACTCTTCCAGCCCATTGCCCCAAATCCCTATTTATATGGCAGCAGATGACAGACAGTTACACTCTCTCCCATGAGAGATCTCCAGTATGATAGTCACCTGTAATGTTCCTGTTGAGGTTCCTCCTTGTACCACAGATCATTTGTGCAAATGAGATATAAATGACACATAAAATAAGTAAGGCAGTAAGCACAAAAATAAAATATTGTGCCACGTTGTCAGTTTCGAATGAAATGCAGGATATTCCTTTTTTAAGTCCTCTGACCCTCAGCAATCCAGTTTACATGTTGCTCATTTAGGGTGGAGGTGCTGAAGTTACTTTACTAGTTGGGTTTTGATCTTCATTGACAATGATGATCTTCATAGATAATCTCTACTTAGGCAGATTCTTTTTTGTCAGGAATCTTGTATTCCACCCATGTCTGCTTTGAAGGTTTTAGAGGCTGTGAAAAAAAAAACCCAGCAGAATCTGGTTGTGTGACATGCCTCAGATAGAGGAGAAGCTTATACAATAACACATTCTCAGAAGAATAAAAATAACCCAGAATTAAGTGCCATGGGTTAATTACCAGGTTTTTGAAAAAAAATTCTTTGAAGTTACATTCTTACTGTTAAAACTTCCTGATGCTGATTTACTAAGTAAAGCAGTCCCCAAGTTATAAACATCTGAGTTATATATAACTCCTAGTTCCAAGCAGAAATGAGACAAAAAGAAGTGAGGGGAAATCTGCCCCCAGGAAGAGGTATTATGGGGAGAAGGTGTCTCCACTGAAGTTTTATCACCAATCCTTGTTTTCAAGACAACACAAAAAAATCCTAATCTAATTGTCATTGGGATAGAAAATAAAGTGAAAACAGTATTAGAGTTTCCTGTCCAGGCTGCTGGACCATGCAGATGTTGTTTTTGTATCTTTGTGGTGTGATCTACACTGCCATATAATACAGTTTGGAACTGCATTGTATGGTCAGTATAGACCCTATGATGCGGTTTAACTGCATTGAACTGCAGGTTTGTTGTGCCAAGAGCAGCTCTAGCAACAACAACAACTGATTGAAGGAACTTTCTGCATGCTCTTTGAATTCCTACAAATGTTCCCAAATAGTCAGTAACACCAAAGTCCAATCCTATTTGGAAAATTGTTGAAGACCCGTTTCAGCCCCACAGTCAGACTTTGTCAGACTTTGCCAGAGGGTGCTCATGCTTCCTCTTCATCCTGGAAAGAAGTGATGAGTGGAGTGCCGCAGGGTTCCGTCCTGGGCCCGGTCCTGTTCAACATCTTTATTAATGACTTAGATGAAGGGCTAGAAGGCAGGATCATCAAGTTTGCAGACGACACCAAATTGGGAGGGATAGCCAGTACTCCAGAGGACAGGAGCAGGATTCAAAACGATCTCGACAGATTAGAGAGATGGGCCAAAACTAACAAAATGAAGTTCAACAGTGACAAATGCAAGATACTCCACTTTGGCAGGAAAAACGAAATGCAAAGATACAGAATGGGGGACGCCTGGCTCGAGAGCAGTACGTGTGAAAAAGATCTTGGAGTCCTCGTGGACAACAAGTAAACATGAGCCAACAATGTGATGTGGCGGCAAAAAACCAATGGGATTTTGGCCTGCATCAATAGGAGCATAGTGTCTAGATCTAGGGAAGTCATGCTAGCCCCCTAATCTGCTTTGGTTAGACCACACCTGGAATATTGTGTCCAATTCTGGGCACCACAATTGAAGAGAGATATTGACAAGCTGGAATGTGTCCAGAGGAGGGTGACTAAAATGATCAAGGGTCTGGAGAACAAGCCCTATGAGGAGCGGCTTAAGGAGCTGGGCATGTTTAGCCTAAAGAAGAGACGGCTGAGAGGAGATATGATAGCCATGTATAAATATGTGAGAGGAAGCCACAGGGAGGAGGGAGCAAGCTTGTTTTCTGCTTCCCTGGAGACTAGGACGCAGAACAATGTCTTCAAACTACAAGAGAGGAGATTCCATCTGAACATGAGGAAGAACTTCCTGACTGTGAGAGCTGTTCAGCAGTGGAACTCTCTGCCCCGAGTGTGGTGGAGGCTCCTTCTTTGGAAGCTTTTAAACAGAGGCTGGATGGCCATCTGTCAGGGGTGATTTGAATGCAATATTCCTGCTTCTTGGCAGGGCGTTGGACTGGATGGCCCATGAGGTCTCTTCCAACTCTTTGATTCTATGATTCTATGATTCAATGTCTTCTTGTCCTTCTTTGAGGTTTCATCATTTTATGAAAATCATGTTGTGCTCTTTTTTAAAAATGATAAGCACCATTGTTTTTGTAGAGGTCTAAAATCAGATTATTGTTCTCAAAGGAACTAGATGTTCACCTCCTTTTGGATGGCAGGGGATATTGTTCAGCTTCAGCCTCAAATCACTAACACTTCTATATTACAGTTTCCTGACCCTTAGTAATTCACCTTCCATGTTACTCACTTGGAGATGCTGTCATGACTTTCCTAGTTGGATTTTTGAACTTCACTGATAATACTATGTAATACTATGTAACATGATTATTGATCCTAGATTATAAATGTTTTGGTTGTATCATAAAAACATGGAAAACGTTTATTAAACTGCAAAAAAATGTTTTTGCGGGACATCCTGCAGCACATTTTGCTATAGTATTTTAATGAATATCTTCTAGAGGTTCAACCAATTCAACATAGTTTGTGGCAGCCACAAAAATGAAGTTTCCAGAGCATAATAACTACTTTCAAAGCAAGTACTGCACAATTAAACAGGAGATAACCCTTTAAAACCAGGAACAAAATATTTTCCAAATTTTGTTTCATAATGTAACTGATGACCTTCGCTGATAACTGATCTTGGTTTGTCAGGAGTCCAGTATTCATTGCTTGTCTGCATAGGATTTGGGGGGGGGGGGGAGCACAACCAGATTGTATTATGGTTTGGGACCCGCCTACCTTTGTGACCATATCTCCCGCCATGAACTATCTCGGGCCTTCCGATCTTCCGGGTAGGCCCTTCTCTCGCCCCTGCCAGCCTTATCAAGCTTGCCTAGTGAGTACAAGGGAGAGAGCCTTTTCCGCTGTGGCTCCCCAACTCTGGAACTCACTGCCTGGAGAAATTAGGAAAGCCCCTTCCTAGAAATCTTCAAAAAGAACTTTAAAACCTGGCTCTTCCGCTGCACCTTTGATGAGTAGGTATATAATCCCACATGATTGCTCTGCCACAAAGTTTTGTCATTGGAGTATACGTCCCCACTCATGGGAAAGCTTGATTCCACAACTCCCGCTAAAATGAGCCCTCCTCTGTAAATTACCTGCTTTCCTCTTTTATCTCACACGAGTTTTTAATTAGTTTTAATCAGTTTGTCCTTTTAATCACTACATGTAGCCCACCCATTATTATTGTGCCTGTGCATATTTTTTATTTTTTATATTGTGATGTATTCATATGTTTTATGTAACTATGATGCTATTGTTTATTGTTCACATTTTCGGTTTGTGTTTTTGGTTTTTTCTTTATTGTAATTGTCATTTGGCTTGGCCTCATGTAAGCCGCTCCGAGTCCCCATTGGGGAGATGGTGGCGAGGTAATAAATAAAATTTATTATTATTACTATTAGATACAAGACAATGTCATATGACAACACATTTCAAATAATATTGAATTATGTGCCATGGCTTAAGATTTTAAGAACTTCTGGGTTTCATACATCTTCCATTGAAGTTACAATCTGATGGAGGATAAGTTACCAGACTTTCTCGCCTACGTCTAGAGCAGTAGTTCCCAAACTTATTTGGCCTACCACCCCCTTTCCAGAAAGAAATTTAATCAGTGCCCCCTGGAAATTAATTTTTTAAATTTTAATAACAATTAAACAGAAAGATATATGTATTAATGTTTCTACCTTTTTCATAAAATATAGTAAAGATAGGTGTGAATTAGAAATATTGAAGTTTGAAATTATGAAACTATTTATTGAACTCAGAATAGAAAGGTAATACAAAAAAGTTAAAACATTCGAAATCATCTTAATGAGAAGGATGAACCTGGTATGCTGTTACCAATTTAGTAATCCTTGGCTCTATTTTCATCAGCAGTAATCCTAAATCATCACGATTGACTATTTGCAATCGGTTTCTCTTTTTTTGTTAATAAATTGGTTACCTCACTGAATCCACATTCCACTAAATATGATGAAGGAAATGCAATTAAAGACTTTTGAATTACAGCCCATATTTCAGGAAAAGCCGTAGGGATCTCCTTTTGCAGCCAGAATGGTTGGTAGCCGCTTTTATTTATTTACATTATTTCTATCCTGCCCATTTCAGCCCGAAGGCGACTCAGGGTGATATTGAATTTAAATTTCAATTCATCATTTGTAGTTACTTCCACCAGTTCTTCTTGTAACTGCGGAGATTCTTCTGTGTTTGCACTTGAAAAAGGATCCAAAATCCAATCAGGTATGTGCATTTTCAAAATATAATCAATCCGTTGATTAAAATCTGAATGGAGAGCATCCAAGTGCTCACAATAACAAAGTGTGTCTTCATCATTTTTTCCTGCTCTTGATAAATTTGGGAACTGGCTGAATTCCCCTCATCCAAAATTTCATTTGTACAGAAGAAGTTTTGTCACAAATGCAGAAATAACAGATTTTGTTTTTATTAAATTCAGTTAATCACTTTGAAGCTGAAGATGGCCTTCATTAAATTTTTGAAACAAGTCGGTCAAGTAAGCGATTTCACTTTTGGATTGAATTAAATTGGATTTTAGTCAAATGTTATTGTAGTTTGGAAGGCTTCATAGCTTCGTTTGATAACACTTTCTGGCAAATCGGGCAAATCGGGCACATTGGTAATGTATTGTTTACAGGTGACTCAATAAAGCCAAATTTCAAATATTTGATATTATATTGTCTAATTTTTTTCTTTGGTTTAGCCAGTATTATTTGTAGAAAAAATACAATTTTTATGGAGGTGTACAGAAGTTGATTGTAAATGATATGATTATAACTGTATTTGTGTTTGCACTGGTTGCCCTAATGCTGGAGCGGCCTAGCTGTGAGGAGTGTGTTACCATGGAAACGATGCTGTAGAGAAGTGGGAGGAGCTTAGAGAGGAGAGTTTTGAAAAGCGACAGTTAAAGTCAGTGGGAGGTTTAGGCTCAGAGGAATGAAGAGTGGGGGTTTGGAGTCGGAGTTAACAGTTGAGAGAGAGAGTGGGAAGTAGAGAAGCATTGTTTGTGAATAGTCAGAGGTTTCTTCAGTCTAGAAAGGCTGAAGGGGGAAACCTAATTAGTTTCATTAGTCAGAGAGGACTAAGGGAAGCTTGTTTAGATCACTAGTTAGAAATGAACTAGAGATCTGGGGTTTGATCACGAAGAGATCAAACCAGAAGGCTATTCACCTCAGGAAACATTGTTTAAGAAAGTGCTTCACCACAGTAAAAGTTTATAAGTTGTAACATCAGAAGTCTGTACTGTATCGCAACCAAGTTATATGTAACGTTCTCCAAGTATCTTCCAAGTTTATCACCAAACTGCAACCATACGCTTTGTTTCAAAATAAACTTGTTCTCTTTGATTTTAAGACTGCCTCATCTCCATTAATTCTGTGTTCAGTGTGCCCAATCTCCCAAAATTACCTCACATCACAAATTGGTGGCACCATTAAGAATAATAAATAATAAATCGTAATTTCTCTCTCCTGAAACCCTTTTCTTTGAATTGGGGCAAGCCCTTTGCAGAGGTATTTTTAATTAATGTTTTTGAAATATTTTTGTAAAAAACAAACTAAAATCAATATTAATGAAATAAACATGATATTATTAATCGTAAATTAATTATTCGTATAATTAATTATTACAAAATAAATAAATAATGCTCACCACTTTAACTTGTCACAATCACAACAACTATGTTCAACTGGACCTAGCAAGCATAGGTAGGTCTTCTGCCACAAGGTTTTTAGCTTCCTACAAAATGAATATTCATTTAGAACATTAGCTAACTATTCCACTTCCGTTGCCCTTAAGAAGAATATATACTAGGGCTAGGTTTGAACCACTTGGTATTATGATGCAAACCGGGCGTTACTGTAACATCCCAAGAAGTGAGAGATTCTGTGTACGGGGAGAACAAACTGTGGAAGATATTGAACATTTCTTGATTGACTGTCCAGTCTATACTGGACTGCAATACAGATATTTACATCCAATATTATCCAACTGTAGGTCCCCCAACAGAAATGATCTTCTGACATTCCTCCTGCAAGGACAGGAAAAATCCACTATAATCAGAGTAAGCATTTTTATTTTGAAAGCTATCAAGAAAACAGCACAATTCCTGAAAAAAGAACCAGGAAAATAAGATTTTGACTGTAAATAGAAGGTCAGCTGCTGTCCTCTCCTTTTTGACTTGTCTTTTACTTGTGTTGTATTTTGAAATGATCATGTGACTGGTCAAATAAATAAATAAAATTTAGATAAGTGTAGACCTTAATGAAAGGAAAGACTCCTTGCTGGAAAATACAATATTGTGCTGGAGGGCCAAGAAAATGCCTAGAGATGAAATATTCTGTCAGACATGTCTCACCAGATGGTTGTTGCCTCCATGTGAATGCTGCTATGCCACCAACACAATGCAATCCAACATGTCTACATTGAGATCTAACAGAGGCTCTGATAGAATATTAGCCAGTAGTAGCAAAGTTATAGTCATCCCTATGGTTACACTCTGAAGATCTGAAGAAACCATAAATTTCTAATCTATCTGAACATTAGGAAGAACTTCCTGACTGTGAGAGCCGTTCAGCAGTGGAACTCTCTGCCCTGGAGTGTGGTGGAGGCTCCTTCTTTGGAAGCTTTTAAGCAGAGGCTGGATGGCCATCTGTCAGGGGTGATTTGAATGCAATATTCCTACTTCTTGGCAGGGGGTTGGACTGGATGGCCCATGAGGTCTCTTCCAACTCTTTGATTCTATGATTCTATGATTCTATATGTTCCTCAGAGCAAATAGTCACTGTACTATTAACCAGGGAAGAGCTAGACAGAGCTCACTTCTATCTCAGAGGCAGAGCCGTCAGCATGTTCGTCTTGGTGTAACTATTACATCCTGCTGAAGCTGGTAATGAATCCAATCTTGCTAAAGTGTGATGAACAGGAATAAGAGGGCATAAGTGCCCAAAAATGCAGGCACCATGGAGTTGGCTACCTTATTGTCAATATGGTTAGATCCCAGCTACTCTTATTGTTGACTCGTGCAACAAGTCTGTGCAGTTGTGTAATGCAGAAGGGAGTGCTCAAACAGCCCTAATAAAAGTCTGTCGAGCCCAAGCCAGATGTCCACACTCTGCCGAAAGAGAAGTACAATTGACAGTGATAACCCATGCCATGGAATGGGTTGGTACAATCGTCCTTCTCCTTCTTGTATATTTTTCTTGCCATCTGCTCATATCATCTAAGAGGAAACTATGGCACAAGGGGAGACTTCCTCCGGGACCCACTCCTCTGCCCCTGATTGGGAATTTCCTGCAGATCAAGGCATCCCAAACCTTAAAATCTCTTCTCAAGGTATGGCTTTTTCTTTCTTTCTTTTGGTCTCTTATGGAAAAAGGAGACCTGGTTAAAAATTAGTGGTTTTAGAAAGAAGTGAATTTGTTAAACCATTAGAAAGAGAGGTAAGAACAATTAGGAATGTATATATCACTGCTGAAAGGAAGATCAGAAGTCATCTTCCAAATCATTTTCTTTGTCTTTCTTACCTCTCTCTCTCTCTCTCTCTCTCTCTATATATATATATATATATATATATATATATATATATATAAACAAAGTTGATATAAAACTCTTCTTAAGATGAGTGGTTGTCCTCTGAATTCAACCCGGACATTTGGGCTCTAATGGTAAATATAGGAAAGGACTAAGAATCACAAAGACTCTGAGTTGTCTCCTTAAGTCTTCTTTCATCACCATCCATTCTCCTGCACGGGTTTTGAAAAATTATCTGTTTTTTTGCTCAAGTTTTGTAGATATCCCTATATATGTATACCTGCAAGCAAAATATTGTGTTCTATTTGATGGTGGGACCCACCTCCATGCTAATAGAGACCAGGCAGCCAAAATGTACTTCTTTGATTCCAAGATAATAGTTTGATGCACCATAAATTGGCATGGCCCCATTCTGGAAACCAGGGATTTGTAATTTGATGACAGATTAGGATTTCTTTGTTAGAGCACTCTAGTGATTGAGATCAAGGGAGAACACTTGAGAACCTTAAAGTGCATCTATATTGTTGAATCAATGAATCACTTTAACTGCCTTGGCTCAATGCTATGGAATCATGGGATTTGTAATTTGAAAAGGTCTTTATCATCCTCTGCCACAGAGTAGTGGTGTCTCACCAACCTACAGATTCCATAATTCCTTAAATCAAGCTATGACAATTCATGAGGTGCCAAGTGGGTGAAGGTGATGGTTAATGCCTCCTTACAGGAAGGAGAGTTTCCAGCAAGCTTAAAACAAGCTATTATAAAACCGCTGTTGAAGAAACCATCACTGGATCCCACTCAATTTGACAACTATCGGCCTGTTTCCAATCTCCCCTATTTGGGCAAGGTCATGGAACGTGTGGTGGCAACACAACTCCAGGGGTTTCTGGTAGACACTGATTATCTAGATCCGGCACAGTCTGGCTTTAGGCCGGGACATGGAACTGAGACAGCCTTGGTCGCCTTGGTAGATGATCTTCGCCGGGAACTTGACAGGGGGAGTGTGTCCCTGTTAGTTTTGCTGGACCTCTCAGCGGCCTTCGATACCATCGATCACGGTATCCTTCTGGGGCGCCTCATGGATATGGGGCTCGGAGGCACTGCTTTGCGGTGGCTCCGATCCTTCCTTGAGGGACGGACCCAGAAGGTGTTATTGGGTGACACCTGTTCAGCCCCACAACCGTTGTTGTGTGGAGTCCCACAGGGTTCAATCTTGTCCCCGATGTTATTTAACATCTACATGAAGCCGCTGGGGGAGATCATTCGGAGTTTCGGACTAAGATGTTATCTCTATGCAGATGATGTCCAAATCTGTCACTCCTTCCCACCTGTCACCAAGGAGGCTGTCCAGACCTTGAACCGGTGTTTAGCTGCTGTGTCGGACTGGATGAGAGCTAACAAATTGAGATTGAATCCAGACAAGACAGAGGTCCTACTGGTCAGTCGTAAGGCCGAACAGGGCATAGGGTTACAGCCTGTGTTAGATGGGGTTACACTCCCCCTGAAGACGCAGGTTCGCAGCTTGGGAGTGATCCTGGACTCATCGCTGAGCCTGGAAGCCCAGGTCTCGGCGGTGGCCGGGAGAGCTTTTGCACAATTAAAACTTGTGCGCCAGCTGCGCCCGTACCTTGGGAAGTCGGATCTGGCCATGGTGGTCCACGCTCTTGTTACATCCCGATTGGATTACTGCAATGCACTCTACGTGGGGTTGCCTTTGAAGACTGCTCGGAAACTCCAACTAGTCCAGCGGGAGGCAGCCAGATTGCTCACTGGAGCGGCATACAGGGAGCATACCACCCCCCTGTTGTATCAGCTCCACTGGCTGCCAATCCAATTCCGAGCACAATTCAAAGTGCTGGTCTTGACCTACAAAACCTTATATGGTTCCGGCCCAGTGTATCTGTCCGAACAGATCCCCCTCTACGTCCCACATCGGAGTCTAAGATCTTCTGAGGAGGCCCTGCTCTCGACTCTACCTATATCACAAGTGAGGCTGGCGGGGACGAGGAGCAGGGCCTTCTTGGTGGTGGCCCCTCACCTGTGGAACTCACTCCCCGGGGAGATTAGATCAGCGAATTCCCTTTTTTCTTTTAGAAAAAAACTGAAGACCTGGATGTGGGACCAGGCATTTGGACATTCTGGCAGCTAAAGAAAGACCTGATGATGAGCAGGAACTGACGAAATGGAATGGATTTACGGAACTCTGAGCGCTGAGCATAGGATTAGTTTACTATTGTATTAGTGTATTGTTATGTACTGATGATTTTAATTTGTTAACTGTTTAAGTGCTGTATGTATGTATATTTGATACAGGCATCGAATTGTGCCTTCCTTTGTAAGCTGCCCTGAGTCCCCCCTCGGGGGTGAGAAGGGCGGGGTAAAAATAACTGAAATAAAATAAAATGCCAAAATTACAGATCCCAGCAAGTTATACAATGGAGACATTGCAGTTAAACCTTCAGTAAGATGTAATATATGTTCAGTATGGATACTTTCTCTGTTAGGTATAGAATTTCTTTGGGGAGGGGGTGGATACATCTTTTTCTATCCCAAAAAGAGAAATTTTCATCCAAAAAAGCATTGTTTCCAGACACTTTTTTGAGCTGGTTGTGATTGTGCAGAACTACATTTTTTTGCACTTCTTAGAACACCTTACAAAATGTCAGGATTGTGACAGATATTAATAGATATTTTCCCCTACAGCTGCATGAAAAATATGGCCCTGTTTTCACTGTCTATTTTGGATCACAACCGGTTCTGGTCTTATGTGGACATCAAGCTGTGAAGGAGACCCTGATAGACAAGGCAGAAGAGTTCAGTGGAAGGTCTACTGCGCCTGTAATCGAGCGGACCTTCCAAGGATATGGTGAGGCATCCTAGCTGCCTTTGCAACAATGGATCCAACTTTTTTTCTTCTGCTTCACTCGCCATTTCTTTTCTGTGTCCTTCAGGGGTGATCTGTTCCAATGGAAACCGCTGGAAGCAACTGCGCCGCTTCTCCCTCACCATCTTGAGGAGTTTTGGAATGGGGAAAAAGTCGATTGAGGAACGAATCCAAGAGGAAGCCCAATTCCTGCTGGAGGAACTGAGGAAGACGAAGGGTAAGAGAGGTGCCAAAGACAGGTTGAACCTATTACGATGAGTGAAAATACTAAGCAAGAGGAAAGACAGCTCCCTTTGCCTGACAATTAGGACTTCATCACATGGAGATTCATGTTGTCAAGGAACACAGGGAAATCTGTAGGGCAGAGGTGGAAATCGTGAGGTAGTGATTTCTTGCATTACCCACTTGCCCATCACACACTGGAAAGAGTACCCTTTCTGGCTTGTTCCCACACTGTCCTCAATATTTTCTACATGATCATGGGTATTCTCCTATGTTCAGAATTCCCCTTTGTAGACCACTTTGCCAATGCAGACAACATGGAACCCCACCGGAAGTAGCTGTGTGTCATGTGATGAGATCTGGTGGGATCTGTCCTATCTACATGGGTGAAGTGTTCTAAGATGGGGATTTTTCCCCATGTGGCGAGTTCCTTAGCGGACACGATGTGTGTGTGTGTGTGCTATTTTTGGTACCAGAAGGGCCTTCTGTGGAGTGATTCATCTTTCATTCTCTTTGCTATTGTGCTACAGAAAAGCCTTTTGATCCAACGTACCTCTTCGGCAGTGCAATGTCAAATATCATCTGCTCCATTGTTTTTGGGGACCGTTTTGACTATGAGGACAAGGAATTCAAGGCTCTCCTGAAGATGATATGCAACATCTTCCGGGAGATGAGCTCAGCTTGGTCTCAGGTACCCCACAACTACTCCCTTTGAAGTTATGCTCAGTTTAAAATGGCGTAGAAATCTGTAAGTCTTAATCACTAGCCTAATTTTCTTCTCCTCCATTTGAGCAAAATATTTACTCCAAGATTCACAACAGCATGCAAAAGCTCCTAGGAAGGTCAGGTGGATTCCATGCCTTTCTTCATATGTTTTGAACTTCTGCTTTCCTATCACAGGTTTCTTGTTCTCCTCCTTTCACTCTTCTAATGCCACAATGACCCAGTTAATAGAGGTATGCAAAATTCCAGGCATTGTTTCAGAGTTTGGACAATTTCAGTAATCCGGAGATACAAACCGCCAAAGTACAATGTGTAAATGTGGATGGTTGTGTGTTTGGGAGTGGTGGGGTGATTCTCTCCTTCTCCTCCAAATCAATTAATAAATCATACACTGTTATGCAGTGCAGTCAGACATACACATCACTTTGCGTTGTTTCTTGGAATGACCAACTACTCCTTTTTACCACAAAATATCTATGTGTTTTGGACAATTTAGGACAATTTAAAATGATATAATCAGAGGAATTTCTTTTCCTCCAAGACTGAGAGAGTGTGATTTGCCTAAGGAGCTTAAATTGGAAAATTTTCCTTAAAATCTGTGGTTGACCAGAACATTCTGAAACTTGGCAGGAATGATACCCTGCTTATGTTGTCTCACTGTACAGAAATTCAAGTAACTATCTCATTTGGGGGTTTTTTAAATGATTGTTGGAAAATGGCAAGTAATCCACCATGATTTTTCTCTCCTTGTGCATATATGCCAGCTTCTTGAAATACTTTCCGGGGCCCGACACCAAGGTCTATGACTTGATGCTAGGTGTGAGGGTCTTCATTGACAAGAGAATCAAGGAGAACCAAAAGACCCTTGATCCCAACTTCCCACGTGACTTTATTGATTGCTTCCTCATCCAGATGGAAAAGGTATTTTGGGGGCATGAAGGTGGTAAAGGTCTGTTTTAAGTGTCCCTGGAGAGCCTTTGGAAGTTGGAGTAATAAATCGCTTAAGCCTTACAAATTGTAGCAAACTGGTGCTGAATGAGCCAGAGCTAAAGATTGGCACAAAGCCCTTTACATCTTGAACAGATCTGAGCCCAGAAAACAGGAGAATTTGCACCCCTGGAGATGTCCAATCAAACCTGTAGATTCAGGTCCAAGTTCTGAGATTTAGCAGGCCTAGTGATGTATATCTTGAATGATTCCAAAGTGTTCTGAAAGGGAGCAGAAATTCATTTGGTCCATAGAGCTTTGGTCAGTTGCTTGACCGAGGCTGCCTATAGAAAGCATGGGAACAGGACAATACCTTTCGGCATTAATGTGTTGGACTCTTAGATCTTTAGGCAAGGGCTTTCTCTCAGTCCTACCACCTTCCCAGGCATGTCTGGTGAGAGAAGCCTTTTCTGTAGCTGTTCCTAAGCTTTGGAACTTTATTGGTAGGAAGTAAGAGTAGCTGTTTGATTATATGTTAATTTCAGCATACATTGTTTAGGTTTTTTTTAAAAAAAACAACTTCCATATAGATGGAGAGCTGTCCTGCTGGTCATCTGGATCTACTGGATGACATCTCCCTGCCTCCTATCAAAGCGTAAGACTATGACATCACAATAGAAGAGGAGTCCTGCTTCTGATTGTCACGGCCTCCCAGGCAGAAGGGGTCTGGCAGATACATAATTCTCCTGAATCTCAACCAACTTCAGAGCAGCCCTTCATTTTTTGGAGTCATTCTGTTACTAAGGGAGGAGGAGGAGTATTTTATCTCCATAATGTTAATGAATATGGAGCAATTATGGTTCTAGAATCTTAGGTTAAGTATCTGTAAGTGCAATGCATAATTGCCAGGCTATCCTTTCCCTACTTTGCACCTGAAGCACAGATGGGCAACCATGTTTTGACAAGTTGCAGTCCAGGACAGAATGCCCTTTCCCATCCAACCTGCCAGTGGCTTTTCTTGGAATCACTCATGACGTCCTGTTTTTTGTTTGTTTGTTTTTTATTTATTTTGCTCTTAGGAAAAAGACAATCCAGGCAGTGAATTTAATATGAAGAACTTGGAGCTCACCATGGTTAATCTGTTCATGGCTGGAACAGAGACATCCAGTTCGACCTTGAGATATGGGTGCCTGCTACTCATGAAGTATCCTGAGGTGCAAGGTATAGTTATTAGCACTTACAGTTGTCTCACATTTGCAGGTTTAACCTAGGCAGATTTGAATCTTTACCTCTACTGGAAGTTGACCATAGAGCCACACTGGAAGAACTAGAAATCCCCAGACAGAACACTTCTCTAGGAATCTCTAGGACCTCTGGGGCTATTCTAAGCTTTATCTCTATCAGTTTTATGACCAAATTTTACCCTATTTTCCACTTCTTTACACGTCAGTCAATCTTCTGTATCCATAGGTTCTGTATCTATGGGTTTGCCAACCATGGTTTGAAAGTACTTAACAGAAAGTGAACCTTGATTTGGCCACCTACCGAGCCCCATGTGGATGTGTAAGCAAAAGGGGGAGCCTCCCATTGTCCACCTCTGGTGGTTCTTACAGCAGTTCAAAGCCATGGAGCCATTCCAGAAGTAATTTTCTGTGATGTGATGGGAGCCATTGGGCTCCATGACTCAAGTACTGAACTGCTGTTGCCACCAAACAAAAATTTGCAGTGTGATGAGGTCCAATGAGATGCAAGAGTTGAAGAATGGGGAAAACTAGATTACTTTCCCCTATAAGACAGGGAAAACTACAATCAGGGCATGCAGGTTTTGAGATGGGGAGGGGGTGCCAGTCTCCTGCAATTAATATTTAGATATTTCATACCACCCTTTCGTCATGTTGGAAATAGAATCAGAGAGTCAGAAACCCAAGGAGTTAATTCTATACATATGTTTAACAGCAAAAGTGCATGAGGAAATTGATCGAGTGATTGGCCAAAATCGTGTCCCCAACACTGAAGACCGGAGCCAGATGCCGTATACAGATGCCGTCATCCATGAAGTGCAAAGATGCACTGATCTCTTTCCTATGAGTGTGGCCCACATGGTTACTCGTGACACAGAATTCAGAGGATACCTGTACCTAAGGTACAGTAGTGGGGTAACCAGGAAAGAAAGCAGGAGGCCGGGCGTGAGCAGCAGTCATCCTACCTTAAAATGTTTCACTGGAGAAAAGTAGGATATATGTAACCTAAGCATGAGCAATATCAGAGCATTGCTAAGATGGCCAAAATGTTTATGAGGAAGAACACATACTTGGAGAGATTGTAGCAGTTGCTTATGCCTGCGCTGGCAGTGAAGGATCCACTGAACCTGCTCTTCTTCCTTTTCCCAGGGACACATAGGACTTTATTGTAGATAGACTAGTTCTGGCCTTGGCCTTGAATCCAGAAAAGAAGTGAGGAGGGCAGTGAAATGCAGACAATCTCAAACATTCTGTTATCTTCTCATAGATTACCTAAATGAAACTTCTGAGCCAGCAGAAATGGCTAAGTTCATAGTTTAGGGTTCCATGAGCCAATTGAAGAATGCCATGCAGGAAGCTCTCTTCCGGAACTCAAATTTTGCAGTATTTTGCAGTATTGCAATATTGAGCTCATAATTCTTTAATTTTCCTATCCCAGGGGATGAAGGTGTACCCTGTGCTCAGTAGTGTCTTGCATGACCCCACAATGTTTAAAAGCCCCAATGCTTTCAACCCAGAGAACTTCTTGGATGAGAATGGACGCTTCAAGAAAAATGAGGCCTTTGTGCCATTTTCTGCAGGTAAATATCTCCTAAATAACTACATTCTCGTTTGTTTGTATGTTATCCCATGCTTGCTTTCAGAATTTTGTTGTTGTGGGTTCCTGTATTCACCAATAGCAGATACACAACACTGGGTGAGGTTTAAGACCTTTTCCTTATACTTTGTGGATTGTATGACATAATTTTACAGTGTCAACTGCTCCTTTCGTCTGCCGCCTTCCTAAATATCTACTCGTTTCACACTCCCACTTTTTGCAATAGGTCTCCATTATGGGAAGAATTGGGGGTCCTTCATATAATGCAGGTTGTTTTAGAAATAGATATAAGACAACAAAATTGCTGGTTGTGAGGCAAAGTTCATGAAAATTCAAGTATATTATGTACAAGGTGAGAGGACTTTGGGGAAAAGGAACATCTGAGTTGTACGATTCCTCAAATCAGACCCTCCCCAGAAACCAATTACAAGGTGGAAATGAGGGAAATATTTTACAAATAGATATAAAACAATGAGTTACTGGCTGGAGTGGAGAGACTATAAAAAGCCAAAGATGCTGTGGACAAGGAACGTGGGGGGACATGAGGTGAAATTCTCTTTTAGTTGTTTCTCAGAGGCATCTAATTATAAAATGCGATGTGCCTGTCCTTGCCTCCTGACACATTCTCATATTTTTATTACAGGGAAACGAATCTGTCTAGGAGAATCATTGGCCCTCATGGAGCTTTTCCTCTTCTTCACCACCATCCTGCAGAATTTCCAACTGAAGCCCCTTGTGCCTCCAGAGGACCTTGACATAACCCCCTGTGAGAGTGGCTTAGCCAACATCCCACCCTTGTACGAGCTCTCTGTCATCCCTCGCTGACCCCAAACCCCCTTTCTCCTTCGGTTTGGGATTCTTGTGTCAGCTGCATTCATACCCTCCACCAGGAGGGGGAAAGGCAATACTGTGTATACTTGAGTATACGCTGACCCGAATATAAGCCGAGGCACCTAATTTTACCAAAAAAATATATGGGAAAATGGAATGACTTGAGTATAAGCTGAGGGTGGGAAGTGCAGCAGCTACTGGTAAATTTAAAAATAAAAATAGATACCAATAAAATCTCATTAATTGAGGCATCAGTAGGTTAAATGTTTTTGAATATTTACGTAAATAGTCATCTTTTGCAGAGTTCATAAAAGAGCACATATACATACAGAGTCCAAATGTTCTCTTTGAGATACAAGCCTTGTAGAACTCCAAGCTCCTTCCACCAAACTGCTCCAAACACACTGCCCTTCTGCACACTACCCCAGCTCCAACAACCCACCTCCAACAACCCACTCCAAGGAGTAGTACTTTGGTTCCTTTATTCCCTTTGCAGCTGCCCAATTCTGGCTGTAACCACACAACGTTGACCAGGTGGTTTGGCTCACTCCCTGCTGCATTGATCCTTACATCACTTCCTACTTGTTACGAGGGGTATTTTTAAAGTAAGGTCCGATTTTTTGTAGACACTAGTAGTTTGCGCGCATACCGCAACAAGCGCGTGCATCGTGTACCGGCATGCCTCGGGAACAACTGTGCTCAGTTTCCGCTCTGTAGCTAACCTTTACAGTTCTGTTCTGTGCTTTAAAAATGTTTAAGACTATCAACTCACCCGCCACATGTGAGGTTCGCTCAGTGATACGGTTTTTGTCAGCAAGGAACCTGCCTGCTGCAGAAATTCATTGACAGATTTGTGAAGTGTACGGTGATACTGTTATGAGTGAAAGCAAAGTGCGTAAGTGGGTATGACAATTCAAAGATGGCCGTGACAACGTCCATGATGAGGACCGCTCTGGTCACCTTTCTTTGATTACAGACAGTTATCAGAGCAGGCGGCAAGTTTTTATGAAGAGGGTATTTTAAAATTGGTTCAGAGGTATAATAAGTGTTTGAACAAACTTGGCAACTATGTCGAAAAATAGAGTGAAGTATGTACTTTCTGAAAATAAATTTACTTTTTTAAAATAAACTTTCGTTGTGTACTTATGTTCCAATGGATCTTACTTAAAAAATACCCCTCGTACTTAAGAAATGAACTCTAACAAGAAAAACATAGGGATCCTGAGTATGAAATAATCATGAATACATAACAGTAGGTTAACTGCCTTAGTGAATTTCAGCCAAACTATATATCTTTTGTTTCGGTTTTGGCTTCATCATAACCCAACAGACTATTTATTTATTTACATTTATTTATTTACAACATTTCTACCCTACCCTTCTCAACCCCAGTGGGGGGGACTCAGGGTGGCTAACACTGGCAACAATTCAATGCCGCAATATCACAATATAACAACAATATAAAACCATAAATACACATTAGATTAAAAACAATAACATTAATTAAGCAATAACATTAACATTAATTATACAATCGTGATTTAAGGACCATGAAAATGCAAAGAAGCTCACAGGCTCACAGTATCAGAAGACTATGGCTCATTGGATTCTTATTTAATCTAGCAATAAATCATCATGCGACATATTCCTAGAGGGCCTTGTCATGGTAATGAAAGCCTCCAACTTCTCTCAACTTCATTTTGAAAAGTGATATGCTGAATCTGCACTGGTGATGCACAAGCACTTCCCAAGCAGATGACAAGTTTCTGCAGAAGATAAAAAGAATGATGTCAGAATTACAACCTTGTAAATTTTGCCATCCACCTTGACTGCCTTTGCACTCTTGCATCAACTACAAATGTCCCCCAAAGCCACCTCAGAAGCTTGCAGCCATGCCAACCATGTTAAAGGGTGATGCCCCCATCTACTTCCTACTATGGTGCACTGGTGGGAAGGAGCTGAACACATAATCCAATTCAGCAGTGCCTCAACATGTGTTTGGCTGGTGTGGTTGACTGTATCTTGACCTGTTTTTTTTTGGAGGGGGGGGTTATATTAGAAGAATGTTGTTACATCATCAAAGTTTCATTTCCCCAGCAAGGTATTGACCCATATGTATAGTAGTGCATGGCATCACCAGAGTGCAAAAATGAATGGATGCCAAGAAAGACAAGAATGGAAGAAAAACCAAAGTGCAAGCTAAAACAGTTCTTTAACAACCACCTATGAGCATTTGGTCTTTTTCTGACTTTTTTTTTATCTCATTGAGATCCTTCCATCCATTTTCCTTTCTTTTAAACTTTTTGAAATAATACAACTTATTACAAATATACTTTTATTTTAATTGATTCAAACAAAACATGCATGATTAAGCAGATCCTTGTTTGTCATGAGTCCTGGATCAACTTCACATCCACATACTAGGATTCAGAGATTGCGTGTTTGGGGGCGGGGAGGGGAGACTCACATAATCAGGTTGCGTTACATGCCACAGATACAGAAAAATGTTGTAATTCTCGAAAAATTGTGTTTGTTTGCCAGAAGGTCCCCATGACCTTTTGAGAAACAAACAAGTCAAATGTGGGCTAGGCAAAACTACGGTTAGGTGGATTGGTAATTGGTTAAGCAAATGAACCCAGAAGGTGATTCTCCCCAATGCTTCCTCTTCATCCTGAAAAGAAGTGACGAGTGGTGTGACATAAACAGGGTTCCGTCCTGGGTCCGGTCTTGTTCAGGGTCTTTGTTAATGACTTAGATGAAGGGTTAAGAGGAATAATAATCAAGTTTGCAGAAGATACCAAATTGGGAGGGAGCCAATACTCCAATACTCCAGAGCCAAAACAAACAAAATGAAGTTCATCAGAGACAAATACAATATACTTCACATAGAAAAAAATGAATTGTAAAGATACAGAATCGGGGGGTGACTGGCTCAACAGCAGTATGTGTGAAAAAGATCTTGTAGCCCTTGTGGACAGAAAGGTGAACATGAGCCAACAATGTGATGTGGTGACAAAAAAGCCAATGGGATTTTGGCCTGCATCAATAGGAGTCTAGTGCCTAGATCCAGGGAAGTCATGCTCCCCCTCTATTCTGCCTTAGTCAGACCACACCTGGAATCACACTGTGTCCAATTCTGAGCACTGCAGTTGAAGGGAGATGTTGACAAGCTGGAATGTGTCCAGAGGAAGGTGACTAAAATGATCAAGAATCTGGAGAACAAGCCCTATGGGGAGTAGCTTAAAGAGCTGGGCATATTTACCCTGCAGAAGAGAAGGCTGAGAAGAGACACAGTAAGGGCCATGTATAAATATGTGAGGGGAAGTCATAGGGAGGAAGGAGCAAGCTTGCTTTCTGCTGCCCTGGAGACTAGGACAACAATGTCTTCAAACTACAAGAAAGGAGATTCCATCTGAACATCAGGAAGAACTTCCTGACTGTGAGAGCTGTTCAGCAGTGGAACTCTCTGCCCTGGAGTGTGGTGGAGGCTCCTTCTTTGGAAGTTTTTAAACAGAGGCTGGATGGCCATCTGTCAGGGGTGCTTTGAATGCAATATTCCTGCTTCTTGGCAGGGGGTTGGACTGGATGGCCCATGAGGTCTCTTCCAACTCTATGATTCTATGACTGAAAATAACTTCACATTCTGTGCCATGGGTTAAGATTTTAATAACTACGAGCTTTAGTAAATGTTCACTTAAAGTTACATTCTTAATTATAAAATATAAAATAATTAGATATTGAATGACCAATTGTAAAACTGAAGAAATTTGATCACATTTGGTTATTATTAATAATATTATTAATATTAATATTATTATAAGACTTTATTTATAACCCCCCCTGAAGGAACTCATATATATATGAAATGTGGATGTTAACTAATGGGAAGTATGGTTGGATCTCACTTGCCCATACTGTTGACTTATACTCCAAATCTATGCAGGTTTGAAGCACAGAAGGCGGTGACTAGCTACCACAATAAAAAGACCAAAGGAGCTCTCTCAGATGGGAACAGTGTCTTCAACTGGCCGAAAGAGAAGGACAGGAGACAACCTGCATGATGGAATGGACTGTTTCATTTGCCTTACTCCTTGTGGTCCTAATTTCTTACTATCTGCTCCTATCATCTAAGAGGAAACGGTTGCACAAGAGGAAGCTTCCTCCGGGACCCACTCCCCTGCCCCTGATTGGGAATTTCCTGCAGATCAAGTCAGGAGAAACCTTAAAATCTCTTCTCAAGGTATGAAATGTTTTTGGACTTTTGTGAAAAAAGAGATCATCTAACTTTTGGGTATATACAATCTGAATATGAATAACATTGCTGAAAACAGTGATTGTCCCTGGGATTTATTCTGGGCGTTTTGGATGTAATTATCACAAGAACAATTATTTTCTGTAGTTTTCGCCCTATTGAGGAGGAAGGAAGTATTGTCATCCAATATTTCCACATTCTCAATTGTTGGGAAATTATTGTGTGCAGAAATATGTATGAAATTTTAAATGTATGTATTGGATGATGGGTTGCACACATTTTTTTTTCTCGAAACCCTCATATGGCTCTTTGGAGAATCTTTTGGTGCACAAAATGCACTGCGTTGCTTCCTCATCCATCACTTAGAAAATACAATGTGTTGGACACCCAAAATAGACTGTTTTTGTAAAGAAAAATGCCAATTTTGGTCAAAAAAGCATGAATCTATATAAATAAAAATGTAATGTTCATTTGTGGGATTAACATAAATCAAAAACCACTGGACAAATTGACACCAAATTTGGACACAAGACATGTATCAGGCCAGCAAGTGACTATCACTCATAAAAACACTGAAAAACACAGCAGAAGAGACTTAAAAAGCCAAAAAACAAAAAATTTACAACACATGCGCAAAACTGCACACACACACACACATATATATATACACACACAATATATGTACAATCAGAACACATATACACCGACTGTGCCACAGCAACGTGTGGCAGGGGATGGCTAGTTTCACATAAAAATGGATTTCTGGACAGGAGTTCTTTTGGGAGTGGTGGATAAAATGGTTTTCATTCAGGTAATTTTTTATTCACAAAATAACTGTTTCCAGGTATATAAGTAAGGTTGTTGTTGTTGTGCAGAAATGCTATTGTGTGTGCGTGTGCGTGCATGTGCAAATTTTGCATTCAAAACCATCTAAATATCTGTAACCAAGCAGTTTTTTAAATGGAAAAAGTTAATTTAAACATGGAAAGCAGTAGGACATTGCTATTTCTGCTCGTTGCACCATGTCTTGGTTCTGGACAACTCTCTCAGGAGGAAAGGTTGCACACTCTCTATGTTTTGTACTCCTTCATTGTGTTTCTTTGGTGGCCAAATGTTTGAGAAAGTTGGGATTTGGAGGAGAAAAATGACGTGTTCTGCTCTGACCAAGCCCTTGCTTTAAACTGAAAACAAAACTCCATATTAAGAGTCAGTATACTGTGAAATGTGCTCCTTGACCCCAATTGAGGAAAAATCCTTCCACTTCAAGGACAGCACTAAAATGCATGCCCAAACAAGAGAATTGTGTCCCTACAGATTCGTGACAAATATGGCCCTGTTTTCACCGTCTATTTTGGATCACGTCCAGTTCTGGTCTTATGTGGACATGATGCTGTGAAGGAAGCTCTGATAGACAAGGCAGAAGAGTTTAGTGGAAGGATTACCACGCCTACACTTGAGCGGACCTTCCAACAATATGGTGAGCCATCCCATTTGTCTTTGCAATAATTGTTCCATCTTTTTCTTCTGTTTGCCCTGTCATTTCTTTCCTACTTCCCTCAGGGTTGGTCTTTTCCAATGGAGAACGATGGAAGCAACTGCGCCGCTTCTCTCTCACCACTTTAAAACATTTTGGAATGGGAAAAAAATCTATTGAGGAACAAATCCAAGAGGAGGCCCAATTTCTGCTGGAGGAATTGCAGAAGACTAAGGGTAAGAGAGGTTCCAAAGGCAGGCTGGACTCATTCTGTTCAGTGACAGTACTACAATTACTAAAGCAAGGAGGGTTTACAGCTTCCTTTGTCCAACATATAGTGGACAAAGTGTGCATTGGGATCCTATTCTTGACAACAAAAGGACCTTCTCTGAAATGATTCTTCATTCATTTGCTGTACTGCAGAAAAGCCCTTTGAACCCAGCTCCCTCCTCAGCCGTACAGTCTCCAACATCATTTGCTCCATTGTTTTTGGGAACCGCTTTGACTATGAGGACAAGGAATTCCAGGCTCTCATGGAGATGATGCACAATGCTTTCCAGGAAATGAGCTCTACCTGGGCCCAGGTACCCTTCAGCTACTTCCTTTGAAGTAATGTTCAATTTAAAAATGCTTAGAAAACCATTTGTCCTGGTGTTCTTCTCTTCTCACCTAGTACATTTCATCTCCTCCCAACTATTTCTGTACCTATATGGAATTTTTAGCCCCATCTCCTATCCAGGTACTTTCTTCTTTCACTATCCTTCTTCACTTTCATCATGAGTGTTCCTTCTCTTTCCCCCACTTCTTCCTGCAATACGTTTTTATTTCTGATTATAATACACATTTTATTGTCCTCACTTGAGTGCTGATTCAGATTTCTTGTTCCTTTCTATTCATTCATCTTGGTTATTGAGGTAAACCGAGTCATATTCAACTTGCTTTTGAAAGGCCGAACAGGACATAGGGTTACAGCCTGTACTTGATGGGATAACACTCCCCCTGAAGACGCAGGTTCGTAGCTTGGGAGTGATCCTGGACTCATCGCTGAGCCTGGAACCCCAGGTCTCAGCGGTGGCCGGGAGAGCTTTGCAGTGCACAATTAAAACTTGTGCGACAGCTGCGCCCATACCTTGGGAAGTCTGACTTGGCCATGGTGCTCCACACTCTTTTATTTATTTATTTCAAAGTTTTATATACCAAGCTTCTCACCTCATAAGAGGGACTCAGCCCGGTTTCCAACCATAAAAACACATACAATCAGTAAAATATCAAAATACACATTACAATAAAACATTTTAAAAGCACATATATTTAAAACTACAGTGGTCAGTCGTCATACTAAAATCGAATATACACCGTTTTCCATCCAGATCATTGTCTCATTCTTTGAAAGCCTGTCTCCATAACCACGACTTCACCTGTGACATCCCGAACAAGACTTCACTCTTGTTACATCCCAATTAGACTACTGCAATGCACTCTACGTGGGGTTGCCTTTAAAGACTGCCCGGAAGCTTCAATTAGTCCAATGGTCAGCAGCCAGGTTGTTCACTGGAGCAACGTACAGGGAGCATACAACTCCTCTGTTACGCCAGCTCCACTGGTTGCCGATTTACTTCCAAGCACAATTCAAGTGTTGGTTTTAACATTTAAAGCTCTAAACGGTTCTGACCCAGACTAAAATGTCCAAACATATCTTCTACTATGAATCATCATGAAGTTTAAGATCATCTGGAGAGGCCCTGCTCTCAATTCCACTGCCGTCGCAAACGCAATTGGTGGAGACAAGAGACAGGGCCTTCTCAACAGTGGTTCCCCGGCTGTGGAATTCCCTATCCAAAGACATCAGACTTACCACCTCCCTCCTGTCCTTTAGAAGGAAACCCAAGACTTGGCTGTGGGACCTTGCATTTGACCATTGAACAGCGGCTTGTATGAAGAAGACATAAGCAATTTCGACGTGACAATGAATTGGCCTGGACCCGGATTTTAATTGGCGTGTTTTAACAACTGTTTATTTAATGTTTTGTTTTAATGAATTTGTTGATTGTTCTTATCATTATGATGGCACCAAATGGTGTTTGCTGTGAGGCCATCCTGATTCCCCCCTTGGGAGTGAGAAGGGCGAGTACAAGAATATGAAATAAATAACTCCCTAACCATGGTTTCTATCTTTCTGCAGCTTTATGACATATATGTCAGCTTCCTGAAGTACTTTCCAGTCCCCCTCAACAAACTAGATGACTTGATGGAAGAACTGAGGCTCTTCATTGCCAGGAGAGTGAAGAAGAACCAAGAGACCCTTGATTCTAACTCACCACGCGACTTTATCGATTGCTTTCTCATCCAGATAGAAAAGGTCCATTCTTAGTGCATGAAGGTGGTGGGGCTCTACATTAAGTGTCCAATACTCCTGAAATCAGAGACTTATTCCTTCTCACTTAGGGAGATGGGCTATTTAACCTACTATAATTGCTTTCAATCAGAATGTGAATGCACAGCAGAACAGAGGTTGAGCACTGCTACCACAAGGATGGGGAGGGAAGGAGGAAGTGTACATGGAGTCTTTGTATACTTCCTTTGCTTTCTCACCCCAAAGGGGACTCAGGATGGATCACAATGTACACGGCAAACATTCAATGCCATTTTAAGATATACAAGACAGACAGACAGATAGTGGTATTTTGGCATTTTTCAACTTCATTGCCTGGAGGTTATGCTCGATTCCAGCCACACGAGGATGCTGTCACTTCATCCACTATGACACCAAGTCATTTTGATCATAGTATTTCCTCTTTGTTCACTGGCATTTCTATGGTGTCATAAAATACCTCCCCGCTTTAAGTGGTACCTAATTTCTCTACTCACAGCTCAGCTGTTTTTGAACTGTTTAGGTGGACAGTCAACTAGCCTTAACAGTTGGGTGCTCAATCTGACTCGGCTTTGAACTTGCCACTTTCGGCTCAGCAGTGATCTATTGCTGCTGGCAATTAACCAGTTGTGCTAGAGCTCGGCCTTTGCAAGCAACAAACCAATTAAACTTTCCAAATTTATTTATTTATTTATTTAGTTTATTTATATACCGCTTTTCTCGACCCTCAGGTGACTCAAAGAGGTGAACAACATCAATACAAAACATCACGAGGCAAATATAGGGCAATTAAAAACAATTGTAACATAAATCATTAAACATCATTAAATCATTAAATCATTATTAAATCATTAAACAACAAATTGTTGTAAGCACCCCTAGTGATGCATATATTGGGTAACTACAATGTGCTTTAAAGAGGAGTATTTATAACAATGCTTAAAAACCCCAGGTAGCCCAAAGAACCTATGTGGTTAACTGGGACTGACTATAGATAACGTGTCCTGTTCTTTTCTGTTATCAGGAAAAAGGGAATCCAGACAGTGGATTTGATATCAAGAACTTGGAGATGTCCACCCTTTGTCTGTTCTTTGGGGGAACAGAGACAGTCAGTTCCACCTTGAGATATGGCTTCCTGCTTCTGATGAAATATCCTAAGGTGCAAGGTATTGTTGTTCTTAATATCATATACAGTGAGCCCCATTTGCAGGTTTAACCTTTACAGAGTTGATAAATTTTAGTTTTTTCCAGGGGGACTCTATGGTCATTCTCTGCCAGAAGTTGACCATAGAGTTGCAGTGAAAAACTTGCAAGGTGTTGTTGTTGTCATGTATAGAATATCAGTTCCCTTTGAAAGTTAGAAACCCAAGAAGTTTCTTTGAACATTTAACAGCAAAAGTGCACGATGAAATTGACCGAGTGATTGGCCATAATCGTATCCCAAACATTGAAGACCGGAACCAGATGCCGTATACAGATGCTGTGATCCATGAGATACAAAGATTTAGCGATCTCTTACCTATGGGTGTGGCCCACATGGTTACTTGTGACACTGAATTCAGAGGATACTTCATCCCTAAGGTACAATATCAGGGTAACAAGGACAGATGGGGGAGGCCTAGGCAAGTGTTGCCTTCAAATCGTAATTGTACCCTAAAATGTTCCATGGCAGAAAAAGTGGGATAACTGCAAGCACTGGGATAAATGGAAGAATGCAGTACAGTGTATTCTGGTTTGGAACTGCATTTTTGCAGTTCTGAGCTCATAGTTCTTTCTTTTTCCTTTTCCCAGGGGATGATAGTCTACCCGGTGCTGAGCAGTGTCTTGCATGACCCCACAATGTTTAAAAACCCCAATGTTTTCAACCCTGAGAACTTTTTGGATGACAATGGATGCTTCCAGAAGAATGATGCCTTTGTGCCTTTCTCCTCAGGTAGAATTCCCTAAACTCACCAATGAGAAGAAAAATCATATATGTGTTTGTTTGATATCCCATGCTTGCTTTTACAACTTGTGGCTGTGAGTCTCTTTATTCTCCAACAAAATGCAAAAATGTATAATGTTTAAGATCTTTCTCATGTACTTGGCTTGAAATGTAAAGATTTTATAACATGGTGCCCATTTCTTCTGCTTCTTTATGCAAAAAAATCTGCAAAGCTAGTGGCATGTTCTGCACAAAATATTATATTCTGTGCAGAAAATGTTTTTTTCTTACACAAAAAGTTTTTCTGTAAGCAATAGAATTTTCTCTACAAGATTTTCTGTACAGAAAATGCTGTTTCTTGCATTTAGAAAATCTGCATGAAAATTTTGCATAGAATAAGTGGTATTCAGATGGCTTTGAGGGCTTTCTTGAAATGGGGAAAGTTGCAAAAGATACTCATTGCTTCCTTTGAGAACAAAATGAAGGAAGAAGAGCATCCCTACTTACAATTAGCTCTATGGGTAAGAATCCTTAGCTTCAGGATTGGCAGATTTAGAAATAAGACTTGATTAAATTTAGAGAAACTACACTCCAGGAATCTCCAAATGATCAATGAAAGCAACAGCAATGATACGAGAGGAAATATAAGATCATGAGATTGATAGTTGAAGGGGGAAAATGCATAAAAAGCCAAAGATACCATGAACAAATACTCTTTTTATTGTCCATGGCTTTCATGGCCAGAATCACTGGGTTGTTGTAGGTTTTTCGGGCTGTATGGGCATGTTCTAGAAGCATTCTCTCCTGACATTTTGCCTATTGTAGAGAGGTTGTAGACACAACCTCTGAGGATGCCTGCCACAGATACATGCAAAACATCAGGAGAGAATGCTTCTCAAACATGCCCATACAGCCCGAAAAACCTACAACAACCCAAATATTCTTTTGGTTGCATCTGGTCACAAAGCCCTATCTCCTGAGAAATCCTCATATTTTTCTTTCAGGGAAACGAATCTGTCTGGGTGAATCATTGGCCCGCATGGAGCTTTTCATTTTCTTCACCACTGTACTACAGAGTTTCTATCTGAAGTCCCTTGTGCCCCCCGAGGACATTGACATCACTCCTCAGGAGTGTGGTTTTGCCACCATTGCACCTTCGTACCAGCTCTCCATCATCCCACGTTGAGCCTGATGTCACTTTTCCCCTTTACCTGGAGTTTTTCCCTCTACATGCGTTTGAAGACTTCATAAGAGTCTCTTACATACAGGTTGATTAAAATAAATGTCTTTCATATTTCACCTCCACATTTGAGTTTGTGGTACTAGACTGCTATCAAAATCACAGCTGGGCAATATGGATGTCTTTGATCAATTCCAGCATTTTCTGCTTTCTGAGAAATCACAAGAGGATGCCTCTTCAATTTTATGAAAGTATCTAGAGTTAAGTGTTTATGAATATTGAGGATGCCTTGAAATTTTCTCATCTGGAATCGCCTTAATTCCACAGCTACGAAGTATAGTTGGCTCTCTCTATTCATGGATTGAATCACCCACAGTTTGAAAATATTAAAAAAGAATAAAAATTGAAAAATAAATTTTGATCTTGTTATTTTATATAAAGAACATCATATAACTACACCTTTTTGTATAATTGGAATTGAGCATCTGTGGAGTTTAATATCCACAGGAGGTCCTGTAACCAAAATACAGTTCCAATCCCTATTCATGGGGCAACAGCTGACTGATAGCTCAATTCTCTGCCATGAGTGATCTCCAATGTAATACCTACACGGAAGGCTCATGTCATAGTTCCTTCTTGTACCAGAGATCACTCATGGCAGTGGGGTGCTAGAAACATCAGTCAGCTGAGGAATAAACTCACATCAATCACAGTGGATGCTGCCTGTTAAGTGGGAATTGGGATAGGAAACATGTAGGAATCTTGAATGTGAACCATTCAGGAATGCAACTCTTGATTAAACGCCTTTTTCTTTGGGCTTTGGCTTCATCATAAACCCTCAAGCTCATTTGATCTAAGGATCACTGTGATACTAGAATGCAAACAGGCTTCCAGATCAGTAGCATTAGAAGGCTACGGTTCATTGTGCTCAAATTTAAGCTTGCAATAAATACTCACATGACATATTCAAAGAGGTTCATGTCATAGTATTCCAGGCTTCCAACTTCTCTTCACCTTGAGTAGTGATGTAAAAGATATGAATTAGTGTTGCGCAAGTAGTTTCCAAGGATAAAAGGAATTTTCTCTTCAATCTACCACCTTACATGGAAGATGATTGTTCTCAAAGGAATTGAATGCTCACCTACTCTTAGGGTGGTCTCAGATACACTGCTCTGCTCCATATTCAATACACCAGTTCTTCTACATTGGACATTTTAATTTATTTTGGGTACCAAAGCAAAGTTTGTAGTAGCAGAGTTATAGTGTGGACTATAGTTACATTGTGGCCTTGGGTCTTCGTTGCTAAGATCTGAGAATACCAACACTCCTTGTATCTTCAGAAGCAATCAGTTACAAATCCATATCTCCTCTGGACCAAACAACCACAGTACTTATTAACTAGGGAAGAGCTGAGCAAATATCTCTTCCATCTCAGAAGCAGAGCATTCAACATATTTACCTTGGAGCCATCATGTCTAGCTGAAGCTGGAAGACGAATATAGCTGCCCTAAACCTTTCCTATCTTGTCATCATGTCAGCTATGAAGAAACTATTTCATAAGGGAAGGCTCCCTCCAGTACTCACTCCCCAGCCTCTGATTAGGGATTTTCTACCAACAAGGTCATTAGAAACCTTAAATTCATTTGTCAAGGTGAGTCCTCCTCCTCCCCCCACCCCACCTTCTCTTGGTGTGTCATTGGTACAAGCCAGGAGAATTCTGGAGAAGGGGAAATGGCAGCTGGGTGAGTTATTTTCCCTTTTAAAGGCTTTTAAAGGGAGTTTGGGAGGGGGTGGGATCTGTCTTGAGTTTCTTGAGTTCCAGGAGGCCAAAGAAACCCAAGACAGAAGTGTAGATGGGCACCAGAAGTCATGTGACGTGATCCCCAGGTCCCATCTACACAGCCCCCACACCTGGAAAGACTCAGGTCTTGTGAAAGACACAGGTCTTTCCAGCAGACAAATTGCCCCAACACAAAGCAGGGATGCTCCAGGGGACCTTTGCAACCCGAAAGACAGTTGCATCTGTCAAGTAGGAAATTTAGGCACCACCTAAGTGTGAGGAGGCTAACTTAACAAATTTACAAGGCCATAAACAAATCTCCTGCAAAGCATGTGGGGAATGCAGAAAGTACTTCATCAGTGTCTCAGATGGACGGTGAAGCGACAGCTCCCCTGGTGGCCAAGAAAGTTGGAATGTTAAATAGAGAGGTTCCTTGTGTCAAGAAGGAAACCCAATTTCAGTAAATAAGAAGAGCCAACATCTGTCTGGAACTGATGGGAGTCAACAAGTTTATGCTAGATAACATCTATCACTCATTTATAATGTTTTGGAACACCATTAGCAGAAATATTGCTATATAAGAGACACTTAAGAATCCAAAAATTGTGGCAAACTGGAGGAATCTGGTCCACCCACCATCTTCTCCAAGGGACAGAGGAAGATGGTGTATTCACAGAATGGCAGATTTGAAGGGAACACAGTCTGGCCTATCTTGGGTCTCTTTTCCAGGAGAAGGATGAATAGATGGTAATGTATGCATGATGATGAATGAATGTTTTGTGTGTGTGTGCATGTGTGTGTAAATGCTTAGTGAAATGTATTTCCCCTTTGTTTGTGTACCCAATGTAGCTAGCTACAGAATCTGTGTGCCTACCTTCTTACTCTATATTGCTCTGTGGTATATTCTGACTCATTGTGAGTGAAATAAAAGAAAATTTTAATGCTTTGTAAAGTTTAAAAAGTATTTATGACATACCTTTTTATTTACCTTTATACTCAGGATCATGTAAAAGTCTTGGGCCAAAAGGGGTACTGAGTCAAATGATTAAAGATGCTCTGATCTAGAGGGCATCTAGTTGGGAGGAGGGTATGTTCTAGTTTCACAACTCTTTCTCTCTTTTCTCTTTTCAGATAAGCCCTTAGACCTCATCTTCCCCCTCAGCCAAGATATAACCAATGCCATTTTCTCCATTGTTTTTGGTGATTGTTTTGATTATGAGGACAATGAATTCAGGACCCTCTGAAAAGGATGAATGGTGCCTTCCAGGGTGTGAGCACTGCTTGGGCCCAGGTGTGTGTGTTTGTGAAAAGGAATATTTGCAGAGGTTCACAGGACCTAATTGGAAGTCTTGTTTGCAGCATGTAGTTCTGCTGCTCTGTGCAGATTTATTGTTTTCTATTTTAATCAGTATTTTGTATTTTGTTTATAACTGACCACAGTAGCACAGATAACTTGCAATGAGCCAAATGTCCTGGAACAGACTGTGCTTTATTTCTACCCTCTTGCAAGTGAGAATGGCTAAGCAAAATCTAGTTTTTCTATTCTGTCTTAAACTGTAACACTAGTTCAGTAGTTCTCACCGAAGCCTCCGGTGGTGCAGTGGGTTAAACCCCTGTGCTGGAAGGACTGACGACCGACAGGTTGCAGGTTTGAATCCGGGGAGAGGCGGATGAGCTCCCTCTATCAGCGCCAGCTCCTCATATGGGGACATGAGAGAAGACTTCCACAAGGATGATAAAAACATCAAATCATCTGGGCATCCCCTGGGCAACGTCCTTGCAGACAGCCAATTCTCTCACACCAGAAGCGACTTGCAGTTTCTCAAGTCTCTCCTGACACGACAAAAAAAAGTAGTTCTCAACCTGTGGATCTCCTGATGTTTTGGCTTTCAACTCCCAGAAGTCTTAACAACTAGTAAACTGGCTGGGATTTCAGGGGGTTGTCAATCAAAGCATCTGGGAGCCCACAGGTTGAGAATCACTACACCAGTTACTCTATCTACTGAAAATCCAGAGTCCTGAATCAATCATGTGTGTTAAGTGTTTTTATGTTGTGTGTTGCTTTATTTATTTACAAAACTATAGTAAATAAATAAATGTGTTTCCCTTTCTCATACAGTTCTATGACATTTATGTTGACTTTCTCAAATACATCCCTGGGGGGCAGAATGAGGTCTATGACTTTACTGAAAGGATTAGGGTCTTCATTGTGAAAAGAGTCACACAAAACAAAACAAAAAAACTTTGACCCTAACTTCTCATGCGACTGTATCAATTGCTTCTTCATACAGATGGAAAAGGAACAGTGTTGGCATTTGGAGCTACTTTGCATGGTATAGGATGGGGTGATTTTGATAGCTTCAAAAAGGTCTACGCAAAAAATCAAAGTCTATCATTATTCCTCCAATAGATCAAGAACAACAGATATGGCTCAAATCAAAATTGGTAATGTTAGTGTTTGGAGCTTCCTGCAACCTTCTGTTTACCATAAGTTTTTTTAAAGGGTCTATGGAAATGCAGTGCAGTTCCTATATTTGTGAAACCAGTACCAGTGACAAAATATTTTTCTTGAAGCATTTTCTAAGAAATCTACAGTTATTCTATGGTATTCTTCAGCTAGAAATCCTTCCATTTCAATAGGGTTCACTATTATCTGTGGTTTTGTATATCCATGCAAACTCCAGGAATGTGGGAATCACATTGCATCTCAATTTGGTGAGCACTGCAAAAGGTCTGGAAATAATAAGAACATTTTTAAAAAAATATTTTCATCATATCGTTCCCTCTGCTTGAGGCCCAAAGTAATCTATTAATAAAAATACAGTACAGCTAAAAAAAACTATTTGTACAAAAGTTTTTTTAAAAAACCACAATTATTTATTTATTTATTTACAGTATTTATATACTGCTTTTCTTACCCCTGGGGGGGGACTCAAAACAGTTTAAACAAAAATAACATCAAAATTAAATGCCTTACTTACATAAACCAAAATTCAATCAACAACATATAACTAGTATAAAATCAATAGGACAATTCACCATAAGATAAGATAAAAAGACATTTAAAAACTGAAATAAAAGAATTAAAACACCTAATAAAAGTACTGAAATCACATTATCCAACTCATAGACTAAAACATTCCAAATGATGATTGCACGTATTCCATATTTGCTTCTTGTACTGCATTATGAGTCAAAAGCTTGGTTCCCTAACCATGTCTTTATCCTTTTTCTAAAGGCCAGGAGGGAGCACACAGATCTAATCTTACTAGGGAGAGAGTTCCAGAGCTGAGGAATCACCACTGAGAAGGCCATGTCCGTCATCAATACCAACCACATTTGCAAAGCAGATGGGATCGAGAGCAGTGCCTCCCCAGAAGATTGTTCATAGAGGGAGATACATTTCGACAGGTAAGCTGGATTGGAACCGTTTAGGGCTTTATA